GGGGCCCGAGCTAAGCTCCACCAGCTCAACGCCCAAAGATGGTCAACACATGCGCTTCAGCGCATCTGGGGGCTATGGGGGCACGTAGCCCGACAGGACAGCCGCACAAAGACTATGCTGCTCTGGAGGGGGCAGAAGTGGTGGAAAGCCGAGCAGGCCAAACCGCGGGGGCTCAGACACCCTGCGCGCTTCAACCCCCACGCCGAAGTCGAAAGCGCAATTGCGGCAATAGGGGGGGACGACTGGCCAGAAAAGGCCCAAGACAGGGAGTGGCGGCAGATAGCACAAAGCGACTTTGTCGCCAAGCACGACCCAGGGTGGAGCAGTGGGAAACAGCCCTCCCTGGCTAACTTAGCGCCAAACAAAGCCGCAGCACCTGCCGCAGCGGCCGCCAAGCGCCAAGCCCGAGGCAAACCCCGCATTGCGATTGAAGCGGGGCCATGCCTGCGCTGACAGACGTGGGGGGAGCGCAGGGCCAAGCGCAATGGGGGCCGCGCGAACACACCCCACCCCCACCCGCCGTGCAAACCCGCACACACCAGTCAACACCAAAGAGGGGGGGCGCGGGGGATGCACGCACTCTACACGCGCACACCTGAGAAAGCATGCCCCTTCTCGCCCCGTCTCCCCCCCCCCCCAGAAGAAGACACAAGAGAGACAACACGCAGACAGCAGCAGCAACAGCAGAGCCACACATGCAGTTTTGTTGTGCTGTGCTGTGTTGTGTGTGCTGCCAGTCATGTCCTAGTGTGGCACCCGGCATAAGAGAACGCCGCAGCTGTCTTACGGTGCAGCCAAGCACGAGCCCCAGCTAGCAAGCAAGCTACGGCACGAGGGCAACATGACACGTGCCGTCCTGTCAGCCACTGTGGCAGGGCTCCTGATAGGCCTATGGTGGGGGCAAGGCATGCCGCCAACAGCAGCCGCTATGCCGCAGGGGCAGGACCGCCCTTCGCGATGGAACAGGCGAGGGGGGGCAGCCACGGATGGAACCGAGGCGACGGAGGGGGACAGTGAGGTGGCAGAGACAGGAGAGGGGGGGCCAGCAGGGACCAGCGAAGCAGGAGATCTGGAACCAAAACACTCCGGAGGGGGGCCCAGACCCAACCCCCCCCCATCACCATGTGGGGGCCGAAAGTGACCACGCACCCGACGACCGTGGACACCTCCCCGTGGGACCACTACCTGCCGGTGGACACCCACCCCAACCAGGCCAGCAAACCCACGCTGCCGCCAGCGACACCAACTGGGGGATGGGGGCACGCAACACAACCATATGACCCGGACACAGAATTCTGGCACCAAGAAATCCCTATAATCCCGCCGACACCGGGGGGCCGTGCCTACCCGGAGCCTCGCCCCTGCACACCTGGGCACCCACCGAGCCAAGCGGGCCCCAACAAGGGCTACCCAAGCCAGCCGAACCGAGACACGCAGGGCACCTCCCGTGCACCAGCGTGCCCACCATTGGGATCCAAGACAGCCGCCTCACCGTATCCACACCCATCACCCAAACCCAACCCCACTGGCTGCACATCGTCGGGGACATCCTCAGACAATACAGCCGCGATGCCCTGCAAGGGGGCGCATGCCAACAGGCCCCGCCCCAGCTGCCAACAACCACGTGCAACCCCGCAGGCCAGCAAGCGCCCACTAAGGCACCGCCACACCCGCCCACTGCAGGGGACCTGATACCACCCGCTGTCAAGGCACCACCGGGGCAGAAACACCTGGCCCCCCACCAACACCACCCACAGCAACCCAACCACCAAGACCAAGCGCAACCATATGGGGGGCAACAACCCTCGCCCCGAGCACCGCAGCAGCAACAACCACCACCACCACCCCGCCAGGAGCAACCCAATACCGCACAGCGAGCCCTCGGACAGCCGCAACAGCCCGCGGCACACCTGGCGCCGCCGCAGCAACCACAGGGGCCACAACCCATTCAACAACCGGTGCCAAAGCAACCACCGCCGCGGCCAGCGCAACAGCAAAGCCAACAGGGCCCACCCGCGACCACCGGGGAGGGGGGAGAAGGCCCACCGCCACCGCAGCCGCAGCAGCCTGGGGGGCCACCACAGCAGGGACAGCCACCACAACAACCACCGTCGCAACCGCCAGTGCACCCACACCCACAGCCCCAACCACAACAGCCACGACCGCCGCAGCCGCAGCGCCAGCAGGCCGAAAACCCACGACCGTCACACCCTGAGACACCGACACAGCAAGAGCAGCAGCCGGTGACAACGAACGCCCAGAGCACGCCGCCGCAACCACAACACCAGCAACAACCATCACGAGGGCAAGCCGCACCAGGGCACCCGCCACCGCAAAAGCAGCGACAACCCCAGGCAGCACAAACAAGGCCAACAGCGGGAGCACAACCCGCGGCCAGCACCGCAGCGGGGGCGACAGCCAAGCCCAAACCGCCACGGCCACCACAAGACGCTGCGGACGACGACAAACCAGAGACGCAGCAGCAGCAAGAACAAGCCCAACCGACAGGGGGGGCGCAGCCGCAGGGGGGGTTGGCGCTAAGCAGCACCGCAACAGGGGCGACAACCCAGCCCAAGTCGCCACAGCCACCGCAGAGGGGCGCGGACAGCCGCCAGCCAACAACACAGCAGCAGCAGCAGCCGCAAGAACAAGCCCAACCAGCAGGAGAGACACAGCCGCAGCAGGGGCCAGCGCAGGACGGGCCGTCACACTGGTACATGAGGGAAGGGGAAACCTTCGCTCAGGCCCTGGCCAGGCGGAGCAGGAACAGACACGAGGGGCGGGGGGAACAACGCACCCGCAACCGTGAACGCAAAGCCCGTGCAGCATGGGAGCGCAAGCAAGCCAAGCACGCCAGCGGAAGCGCGGGGACAAAGCAGGACACCCCAGACTGGGCGGAGATGCTGAACCGCCACAAACAGCCCAGACAAAACCATGGGGGGGGCGAACGGGGGCAGCCGACCCAAACACATCCGACACTGGCACCATCACCACCCGAAAGGGCCCCCAGCGAGTCCTCCGAAACCCACTGGAGCAGCAGCGGCGACGACACCACGGAAACAAACACCACCGACCCGACAGCAGCAGCGGCGGAGGCAGATGAGCAAACAGGAGGCCAGGAGGAGGTGTGGGAGTGGTCGCAAGACGGGCCCCCACTGCTACCCATCCGGAAAGGGGCCCAAATTATATTCTGGGCAGGCAGGGCGGGGGAGTATCTCTGGTCCTTTGAGGTTGCGGATCAAACCCGACAGGTGCCGGGGGGCAAAGGGTGCGACAGCTAGGCCGCAACACCCCCCAGGGGCAAGACCAACCCCCAGGGGCCAACTCCGTAAGCTCAAAAAGCACGACACATGGGTGATGGCAGTCACCCAAGAGTGGAGGGGGTCAGGTTGAGGCAGGGGCAGTTAGCCAGGGTGGACCCCGACACATACTGAACAGCAGAAGTCACACCACTCCAGAGGCCCAGCCAAGCCAGCAACTACCAGGTCGGCGGGGCAAGCGGGTCGGGGCACCAGGACCAGCCCGCAGACGCCCAGCACACGACAGCCACCCACCACAACCAGCCACAGCAGACCCCAGGGCCACCACCACCACCACCACTGCCGCAGCACCAACAAGGAAACCCACCGCAGCAGCAGCAGATGGAGGACGCTGGAGAAGGAGAGGAAACGAATCTGGTACAAAAAGCACGAGGCAGGGGAGTGGGGGCAGGCGGCGGGAGAGGAAGAGGGCGTAAAGGAAGAGAGCAGCCGAAAGGGGGGGGGGCAAACGCAAAACTGACAACGCGCCGGGCCAGGCCACAAACAAGAAGCACAAAGCACAGGAGGAGCAGAGTGCGCAAAGGGGGGCCACCACAGCCAGCACCTACATACACGCAGCCCTGGACGCCCTGCAAGCACGTGAGCCGGCTGCGTGCGAAGCGGCGGCAAGCAGCACCGCCCCCCACGCCACGATGGAAGGGGAGGAGCACCTCCGAGCAGCGTTGCGGTGCCTGCACAAGGTGACAGGCAACGACACACAAGGAGGAAGCCAAGGAAGAGAGGAGGAGGAAGGAGTAGAGGGGGAGCAGCACCTGCCAGCAGGCACCGGGGGCAGCAGCGGCAGCAATCGAGCGAGCAACCTAGCCAGGAGACAACCGCCGCAGCCGATCACCAACAGATATGGGGAACCGGAAGCACGCCACACCAACCCGCCAACACCCAACACAACGCGGGAGGAAGGCACCACCAACTTCGAGGAGGCAGTGCGGCTCGCGCACCAGGTAGGACAGGGGTGGGGGCGGCTCAACTTGGAAGAAAGGATGCAGGACATAGGGGCAATCCTGGGGTTGTTGAGGCAGGGGAGGAGGTGGTTGCAGGGGGTGAGGAGAACGAGCAGCTGGGAGCTACAATCCATAGCAGAGGCCAGGAGTGGGCAAGCCGAAGAGGAGCTCCTCATCGCGGCCAGCTACCCCGGACACCCACAAGCCACACACCACCTGCAACAAGGTTAACGAGGGGCACTGCTTTGCATGGCAGGAAGGGGGGGGGGGGGGACGACCGTGAACGAGGAACCTTCGCCTACACGAGCAAACAAGAGGTGCCCTGAATACCGGGGCGGGCGCGAACGCCCGGGGGCTTGCCCCCTCGCCCCCAAGAAAGAAAGAAAGAGAGAGAGAGAGAGAGAGAGAGAGCGAATGAGGGAGGGAGGGATGAAACAGGGATGAGAGAGATGAGATGTAATTAAGCCTGACTGACCAATTGACTGACCGCGTTGTCATAAAACGGAAGACAAATCGACTGACTGACCGGACGCCTTGCCACAAGTTCAAGATGGAGGATGGCTTGAGTGAGTGAGTGGCAACCTTTTTGCAGTGATCAGAAAAGCGCGAAAACAAATAGCGAACCGCGCAAAAGGATCCAATCTTTGCAGGCATTCGCGTGCTAGACCTGTACATTTAACAGCACGCCGCTAGAAACTAGGCGATGACTGCATATGAATTTCTTATCTGATCCGGCCAGGCATTGAAAGACCCGTGGGTCACCAGCTCCGCGTACCGGCCCCAGATCGAAGCAACGAAGGATTGGATTGTCACTGCCTGTTTTTTTTTTTTTTTGGGGGGGGGGGGGTGAATACTTAAACTCACTAGCCGATGTAGGCTACGATAGCATACCACCCCTGTGTTACGTGTGCAGAGTTCAGCATAGTTCGTGGGTGATACGGTGGCGGACTACAGCAAGTCAACAATGGATTTCTCGGTGCCAGGAGCCTTCCCACCAGCGCGCTTTCGGGTGTCGCGGGCCCAGAAGTAGCTGGGAGCAAGCCCTCATTAAATCCCCCCACAAAGCTTCAAGCCTCACTCTTTTTATGCACCGAAACCCTTCAAACCAAGCCGCTTTGCTTGTGCCTCGAGGCTGTTATGGACAACCTGCGGAAGTACAGCTGGCGACCCAAAACAACAGCAAGAGTAGGAGTTTATGCTGGGATGTAGGGCTTCGGGCTTTGGCCTGCAGCAGCTGTGACCCGAGTCGAAACCAAGGCCGAACCTCACATCCCGAGAATAGAACCCCACTCAACGCCACTTTTGACACCACCCAAAACTCCGATTGTTCTTGCGTTCGCGAGGTGCTGAGCATCGCTTCAAAAAAGCGGCTTTGCACGTACTTGCCCGACACCAGGACCGAGGCGTCGAGGCTTTCGGAGGCTTCTTTAGGCGCTTTCTGGGCTTTTTTGACTCAAAAGGATTCTCAGGGTTGGGTTTCAGAACATCTCCTTGTTTTTGCTTGGGGGCCAGGACGAGGGAGCCCTTAGTGCGCAGGGCGCTGAGTTCACAAGGGTTCACTTCAGAGTTTCGGGCTGTGAGGACGTAGAAGCTTATGTCGGAACCCCGTGAAGATGCGCCTGCACGGAACAATGCAAAGTCTGCCGACATAGTGCAAGATCTTCCCTGCACGGAGTTTGCCGGCCCTCTGAGGCTTAAGCTTTGAACGTTTGGGGGCCAAGCTCCCAACCTCTCCCCTACAAACAAGTTTGCGGGAGGTTTGGGGGGGGAGCCGACGATTGCGTTTCTCTGCAGCCGTTGCTGAGCAAGACAACCGCCTAACACGAGCCCTTCGAACCCGAAGCCCTGAGTCCTACTAAGCCACAAAGCCCTAGACCAGGAACCCGTCGCACCCAAAGCCTACACCCAGAACCCCGCAACCTCCGCGTATGCCAGCACTGCATCCCGCAAGCTGGTTGACTTGTCGTGCCCAGGCTGCGGGAAACCTTCACGCAGCTGGACCAGGCAAGTGTCCTGAAACCCTCCAGTTGCCTTTGTGGACTCGACACTCTAAATTAAATCTCTCACTCCAATACCAGGATGGTGACGGAATCATCACCTTCAACGAGCTCAAACAGGGACTGCCAGCCTCCTGGTATAGGGGATGCCAACGATGCCAAGTTGTTATTCTGTTTGCAGGAACTGTCGAGGCTTTCAGGGTGTTTGGGTCAAGTGTTTCACGAGTTTGAAGGCCCTTGCGGGCTCCAGCGATGTTGGATGTTAAGCTGCTGTCATACAGCTTGTGCGATTCTTCAAGGAAGACCGCCGGATTCGGTGACCAGTTCTCCAACAAGGACACCGTACGGTTAGGGCTGAGGGCTTAGGGTCCGGGGTTGAGAGTCTCATAGGACTGCTGGAGGAGGAAACCCATTTCGTCAGAGCTGCGGCATCGCCTTGCATCTGAACGGGGAGTAATCTGGCCACCAAATTTGGGGCCACAAGCCCGGAGTCCGACCCCAAAACCCGAAACCCTAAACCTTAAACCTTAAACCCTAAACCTTAAACTCTCCTGAAACCTGTGCAAAACCTCAAAGTCCTTGAAGATCCCTGCAGGACCTTCAGGACTTGGCCAAGGCCGTGGACGCGGATGGCTCGGGTGAGATTGCCACCCTGGCTTGGAAATTTTCCGGGGATTTCGCGATGTTTTTGCTGTTTCCCCTCTACACAGCGGCCGGGTCGTCGCCAGGACTACACTGAGTTTATCGCTGCAGCTATGGAGAGACAGGCAGTTGCAGCTGCCTCAGCTACAGCTTAGGGTTCTTAAGGTTGCGTGTGTCAGCATGTTTAGTTTAACCGCTAGGCATCGACCCAACAACTCAAAGTCGAATCCTGCATGGGAGGTCCTCCTTGTGTGCATCCCCTATCTTGAGCGAGAAGGGAACAGATTCAGACCCATCACAAAACAGTTCCTTTGAGGGAGGCTTGTCCGGCTTGCGGGTTTGCTGGAACCCCAAAATCTGAACCCGAAACCCTTAGCACTCCTCCAAAGAAGGTCCAGGAAAGCACCCTCTGGGCGGCCTTCCGTGTCTTCGACAAGAACGGCTGCTTGGCACATCCAGGCTTAGGGTTCCGGGCGCTGGCAGGAAAGGCTTTGAAAGGCTCTCGGAACTTTAGCCCCCTAAAGCTCTAGCACCCTAAGCCTTAATCTGGCAGTGCCCGAACACCCTACATGCCTTGAGCTCTCGGCAAATTCCTACCCAAACCTTTCAAACCCTTACGAACCTAAACCGCCCTCTTCGTGCTCTAAGATGACGGCCGGATCTCCATGAAGGAGCTGCAGGAGGTTCTGGGAACCAAAGAGGCGAGGAGGGACCGCTGACGATGTCAAACTCGCAAGAACACCATAACACTTGTTTGCATCATGTGATTTCTCCACGTTGGTCACTATTGCGGGGGTGTGGTTTCAGGTGCTTCTTGGGGTAGTTGAACCATGGGCCTGAGAGCGCAAAACGGCCAGGCCAACAAGGCCGTGTCCAAGGCGAGCTTTGAGGGGTCTTGCTCGGCTGTTCGGGTATGTTCGGGTGTCGAGGTTCGAGGGGTCCGGTCAGGGTTTGGGCTTTCGACGTCTGATTCGGAAGCCGCCACAACCTCCACGATTCCCCAGCTTTCAGGCTCCACTCGTAACACTGAGTTGGCCCACGCATGGAAATGTCACCGCTTTGGGGCTTGTGAGAATGAGGTTTCTTGTAGATCCGTGGCGTTCTTAAGGGGGTTCGGGGTTCAACCCAACGCAGGACAATGTCAAGAAGATCTTGTCGGAGGTGGATAAAAACGGAGACGGCCTGGAGCCTCAGAACCAGGAGCTCCAATTCATCGAAATCTGGTTGGACCGAAATTCTTGCACACCAAGTTCCAGTTGTGGTGGTTGCGGTCAAGGGGTTGAGGATTCAGGGTTTGGAGCCTACAAACGTGTATTCCTCCGAAAACAGTGACCAAGGCCTCAAGCACGCAATTGAGGGGTAACCCTCGTCCCACTCCTGCGCCCGGGCCCATCAACTCTAGACATAACGCTGCCCGCTGAGGTTTCATCGATTTCAACGAGCTGCAACCTGAGCTGCACTTGCCAATGATACTCCTCTCTGTGATGTGGGCTTCATGGGGCTCTCATGGTTCATTCTTGGCAGGTATGACGTATAGGGTCTAGGGCTCAGTGAATCCGAGGTCCGGACGTAGGGCCCCATCTTCACGACCTTCACACCCCTCCACCTTGCACCGTCATTGGCACGCATTGCACCCTACTTGGAAGTTCACGGGTAGTCGACTCAACAACCGCTGCAAACCTGCCTTGATGTGGAGGTTTATCGAGATGATGAGGACGTAGTTCCTGAGTCGGAGACTTAGCCTGTGTATGCCTGTGTCTGCTTTCAGTATCGGATTCAAACTTGTCATTGCCCGCCCTGGAAGGTGTTCAAGTTTGCAAGCCCAGAGTAAGCATCAGATCATCAGAATAAGTGTGTGGGGAAAGTCGAGGAGAAGTGCGTTGTGACAAGCATTGGGTGTTCCAGGTGCTGCGGAGTTTAGGGTCTTTTGTCTTTGGGATGTGGATGTAGGGTCGGATCGTACTTAAAAAATTCTCTTTTCACGGAAGCATCTTTTTCCATTCTGTTCCGTTTGGACTGACTTTGCTACTCGTTCGGTCTATTGCACATGCTTTTTGGCTCGGGTTTCGGCAAGGTTTCTGGAGTTTGAGCCTCCGAGGCAGTGACAAGAAGCCCAACGGCGTTTCTGTCACGCTCGGCCAGGGCCTTTGAGCCGTGTGGCTGTCTATCCAAAAACCCAGTGAGTTTGAGACAGCGCGAATAGGAGCAAGCTACTGGTTCTGCAGTTAAGCTACTTGGAGCCCAGGTACATACGAGACCTCGAGCTGAGACATGCAGTTCTTTGCTGCACAGATCGATGGCGCTCGGCAATAGAAGCCTAGTACAGATTTGAAGGTGGAGCTGCAGTCTCTCCGTCAGCTTAGAAGCCCCAAGGCGGGCAGCAGCCACAACCCTAAGCGTATATTGTCCACTCGGAGCATCGCCAGAGGGCTCCCTGCTGACGGAGGCACGCCACTCTGCCCGGTCGAAGATTTGAAGCGACATGGGCAAGCTCCTGGCCTTGAATTTGTAGGGCAAAAGACTTAGGATGTAGCCAACCTGCCAGAGTAGATGTTTGGTTCCTTCTAGTCTCTTTTGAAGCTCGGTTGCTTGCCGGTGTCTGCCAGCGTGGCCGATGTTTCACAAGGGCTCTGCCTGTAAAGATCCTTAATGGAAACGGAAAAGCAGCGAAACTCCCGTGCCCATGAGCTTCAATCCAGCGGCGAACGCGGCAACCTGGAACCTTTCAAACAGCGACCCTCTGCTTGAGTGTAAGGCGCAGGCTCAGGGCCATCTCCAAAAAGCGTCTACTGTACAGGATATGGTTCAGGGTGCTGGAGGATTCTCCGAATCCGAAGCCAAGCCTAAGTTGCAGAGCTTGGGTGTTTCTCGGTGTTTCTTCCCAACTGCCCCAGTACATGAACCCCTAATCAAAGAGACCTCCCCGGCCAAACGGCAGACAGACATTTGACACAAGCCTCTGACCCAATGGAACCAAGAGCTCTGGCAATGTCCAGAACAAGTGATATTTGGTGGCCTCCGAGCAGAACGTGGCAGAATGTGTGCGCTGGCCATGCTGGCAACTGGGCTGTGCGTATCCTTCGCATTCGCAGAAGCAACGACCTTGGCCGTGCAACTGACTCGGCACTGGCGGCCGCTGCCAGACAGCTGGGGTCGGCACCAAAGCACTGTCGAGTATTTTGCCGAAGTGGAAGTCGGATACCCTGGCCAGCGCTTGCGTATGACCTTTGACACAGGGAGTGCCAATGTTGTGATCCCTTCGATTCATTGTTCTGCGCCGAGCTGCATGCCACACAGGCGTTACGATGCCGGGCAGTCGAGCACATCGGAGCGTCGGCTTTGCTTGGAGGACGTGGAGTCAAGCAACTACAGTCGTGAGGCTGTGACGCTGACGTTCGGAACCGGTCAGGTTACAGGGCATTATGCCAAAGATGTGGTTTGCCTGGGACAAGGCTTCTGTGCGGCGTTGAGTTTTTTGGAGGCAACGAACCAAAGCGAGCATCCCTTTCTAAGCGCACCCTTTGATGGTGTTCTTGGCTTGGCATTTCCCCAACTTTCCGAGGGCCCGGGCTTCTCCTTCTTCGACGAGCTGGTGAAGAGCCGGCAGCTTGCCCGGCCGATCTTCTCCGTGTACTTTTCCCTGGGAGGCGGCGAGATCATGTTCGGAGGGGTGGACTCCAGGAGGATGCGCTCAGAACTTCGATGGGCTCCAGTGTGGAACCCTGGATTCTGGCAGGTGGGATGGGATGGCTAGGTCCGGCTAGGTAGTGGGACATATACGCTTTGGGGGCTTTTTACATGAGTGATCAAGGAGGACTAGCATGTTCGACCCAATGCCTGGGCCCCCCTTACTCCCCCCCCAAGGCCAGGACATCTGACTGATCCAAACACGTCAGCCAACCTTCAATCCCTCGCTCCGCTTATCGGCTCGTAGCAGGTCTGGTTTTGTTCGTCGCGAAGCAGGGGTTTGCGACAAAGCAGTCTGGCGCGCCCTGTTACACCCCTGAAGTCCTTCCGGGCAGCGGCGCCTTTCTTCCCGAATATCCGGGACAACGCGTCGCAGGATGGCCCCACTAGGGTAGCGGTAAGCTTGCAGATGCGAGAGCATCATCGCACGCTCGTTTCAACGATTCGAAGGCACGAGCGTTCAAGAACGTGCATGGCTTTAAGGTTGTAACCCGCGCCAAAGGGCTTGGGGCATGCGAGGCATGCCCTCAAGGCCTTAAAGGGCTTCTTTAGGCCCTCTTGAGGCCCTCTTGAGGCACCAAAGGCCCTAGGCTCCTAGACTCCAATGCTGCCAGAGGTGTCCCTGTCGGACATCACCCTGGATGGACAGCGCACGGAGCTCTGCGGGGCCCCGGGGTCCTTTCGCGCCTGCGGCGCGGCCCTGGACACCGGGAGCCCTTGAGCTTCTCTTTGTCTTGTTGGGCTTAAGGTTTGGCTGACGGTTTAGACAGTCAGGTTTCAGGATTTAGGGCAGTGTATCTTGTTTTGTGCTTGCTTGTACTTTGTATGCTTGTAACTTGTCTCCTCAGAGCCTGAAGGCTCTAGCTGTGGGGATGGCCTCTCTGGCTGGAAGGCAGCGAACCCTAAACGGAGCACTCGGGTCCCCAAGCCTATCCCAGGAGATGTTGGGTGGCAATTGCTGGGTTGGCAAATCCTAGCCTCCGAAAAGGCGACTGTTGAATGAGAAAAGGAGATGTGGCAAACCCAAACCCTGAAAGGAGATCCTGAGTGGCAAAATTCCCAAAAGGAGGTGTTGAGTAGCAATCGCTAAGTTTTCAGAGAACACCCGAGAACTTAAACGGAGAAGTGGCAAACCCAAAGCCAACAAAGGACTAAAGGAGATGTGGGTGACCAGCCCTATCAAGTACTCCGCTGCAGAATCTCCTTCCTTGTCCTTCGAAACCATACAAGCATTCGCGGCACCGCCAACTGGTTTGGAAAGGTGTGCGTTTGCCTGGCAGCGACTGGACGAAGAGAAAATCGGACAGGTTCGTACAGCACCACCCCCTTCCAACCGCCCCAAGGACTATATAAGCCTTCAACACCTGCCGTAGACTTTTAGATGCTATAAACCCTCACCGTTTCGACAGGACATCGGCCCTGGCGGCGCCCACGCGCCTGGCACGGCAGCTAGCTGAGCGTCTCCAGGCCGATATGGTCTCCTGAAAGGCTGTACGGCTCAGGGTTTAATTCCATCCCCATGCCCAACCTTTCCTAGTACATCAATAGAATCAGTACACAAAAAGGTCAGTTTTTAAAATTAGTGGGGTTTAGTATGGGGGTTTCGTACTATGGGTAGGGGGCTATAGGGGTTGGTCACAGACGGGCATAGGTAGTTGTTCCCAGGTCTTGCAGGTCTTGTGTTTTGTGCGATGATTTGTGTGGGTTTTGGTTCGGGGCCCAGGGTGGAAGTCCCTATGTGGTTTAGGGCTTCAGAAGGTTTAGTGTTGTTGCTCCCAGCTAGCGCCAGCCTCACGCTCTTCTGTCCAAAGCATGCTCCCGCCATCGTTCCTGGAGCATGTCATCCGAAGTCCGGAGAATCCCAGCCCCCCAAGCGATCCCAAACTGAAATGCCAAACTCCACAATGCTGAACCTTTAACCTTAAGCTTGAAATCTAGAGCTTTAGTACCCCTTGAACCTTAAGCAACCGCAAACAGAGACCCCCAGAGGTGGAACGGGACTGCAGCAACTTCCATACACTGCCGATCCTCGGCTTCCTGTTGGACGAGGCCCACCTGAGTGTGTTCCCTCATGTTCCCTCCGAGTTGCAGTAGGGGCTTTTATGGGCTCTTGAGGGTTTCAGGATTAGGGCAACGGAATGTTCACTGCAGGCAAGGGGGCCGGGGGACGGGACACCGGTGGCAACACCCAGAGGTGCTGAAGCAATGCGCGATTCAGTGATATCAGTCTGTGAGTTCTTTCATGAGTTTCAGCACTCCAGAAGATGAAATCTCCGACTGGTGGCCATGACGCTGGGCAATGCTCAGCTCCAGATCTGAGTAGCGTGAAGCAGACGAGGATTGTAGTCGCGTACGTGGCAGGATAGTATCGACAAATGATAGACATGCCCTGACTGGGGGGACTACGGAGAAATCGGCTTAACAAGAACGATGTTGAACATGCCGCCGAGCAGCACTTGCTGTCGTGAACTGGCGCCTGCCAGTGGGGGCAATTCTGTGGTTTTCAAGGTGGTAGCCACGTTTTCGGACTTTGTGCGTGCAGCGTGTACTATCTGACCGCCATCGACCGGCACCGATTTCGTCGCACCTGATGATTTCGCAAGACCCTCAAAGGAAAACAACATCAACCCCGAACCGATATGAGACATGCCTGCAAGAATTCAAGGTTCCAGCTTTCGGGTTTTCACATTTTTGCTCTTTCATTCCGCAGTTCCTACAGAAACATTGTTCCGTGGAGCTTGAAATTTATGCCCTGCCACAAGTGACTGTTGACAACTCCTCAGACAGGCGTTTTTCAAGCATGAAGGAAAGCAGCAAAAAATGTTCCATCAAAGGCCCAGCTGGCATCTACCACGGCATTCAACAGCCTGTGCACCGTGTAGTTGGGGCGCGGGACATGACCGCACGTGCACCCCTCCTCTCTTCCATCCCCACTCCGCCTTTCCCTTCCGCCCCCTTTCTTCCTTCCGGCGAAAGTGACAGCCGTATCGCCTGGATCCTATGTGTCTGCATGCTCAGGCGGACTGGGAGCTGCAACTTGCCCCGGAAGATTACGTGGGCCAGGACGAGGCGCACTTTGATCCGGGGGGGTCTTGATTTCTTGATTTGGGCCCTTTTGGGGGCCTGACCTCAGAGTTGGGCTCTAAGTGGTGAACCAAACCTACATGGAATCCGTGCAAGAGAGGCTGATGAGCCTGGCTACCTTAGAGCAGCTCGCACTTGGACCCAAGGGTTCGCAGAGCTTTGACCCTGAAAAGCCTTGAGCTCGAGCTGCACCGTTGACCCAAAGCCCGAGGCCGTAGATCCGAAAGACTGGGTAGGTAACCCTTAACCTTCTCGGTTGTATAGAATCCTACTATATATGAAAGGTCAGCCTTTTTTGGCTGGGGCTGTATACCCCCTAAGCCTACCATTCCTTCCGCAAGTGCCCTAGCCCTAGCCATTCCTTGCCAGAGGGCTCCTGCGAGTTGCAGCTGATGGCGGTGGACGTCCCGAGGCCCCATGGCCCGCTGCTGCTGCTGGGCGATCCCTTCCTCAGGCACCGGGATGATGGTTTAGGTTCCATGATTTAAGAGGGCTCAGAGGGTTCAATGCTTATGGGGCTTTCGATTTTGGTTTTTCCGGGCTTTAGGGCCTTCGCGGGAGAGGGTTGATGTTAGGGTGTGTTGTCCTCTCATGCGCTTGTTGGGCTTGTTAGCGGCAATCCTGCGCAACCTGCTTTCGAGGAGATACTACACTGTCTACGATCGCCAGCGCATGCTCATAGGCTTTGCCCTGGCTCAGCAGAACAGCAGCGCACCACAGGAAATGCTGCAGATGACCGAAGTAGGGTCGAAGGTCCTCCAAAAATCGGGGCTGAAGGCGCCTCTGCCCACCTCTTGCAAACCCAAGAAGACCAACAAGCCCCCCCAAGTGTAAACCCAAACAAAAGCCAGTTGTCCAAGGACAAATAGGGGCCCAATGATTCCAGGATGGGCTTCAGGGTTTAAGGATTCGTGCGACGTGGACGAGGCGGGGTTGAGCCCTGCCAGGCTCCAAGAGCAGGCAGCTGCAATGTTACTCTCAGCCCAAGACTCCCAAGACCCAAGCCCTTAAGACTGAGACCACTTGGCGTTGGCTTTTTTGGCCCGAGAGCAGATGGATAGGTTTAGTACATGAGATGGTGATGGGTTTGACATCCATAGCCAGTCCTTATTTTCAGTCAGCAGCTCAGGTGGGCGCTCGGGTATCAAGGATGTCTAAGTCAAGCACTGTAGCCCTTCCACCAGAAGCTACTCAGACGTTCCAGATCTTCAAAAGTCTTCGCACCTTTTCTTTGTGGGTTTCTTGCGCGCGCAGTGCCATGGCTGCGTGCGCTGCCCAGTCTGTTGGCCTGTGTACCTGCTAGTTGCCAGTTGGACCCCTAAGAGCAGGCGTGCCGCAACTTGAATGACGCGTGATGCCTCCGCAGAAGGTTGTAGGGTTTAGGTGGCTCCCATGGCTAAGGAAGGGCAAACTTACCTCGCCTCAGGCCGCTGCGAAGGGATGTGGGGGAGCCGGGAGGGGGGATAATGATGAGTAATTCTCCTGGGCCGCGTCGCAGTGCAGAGGCGTGAGCTTCAGGCAGCAGGCCTGAAATTCACAGCGCAAAAACTTTCGAGCCAGTTCCATGTTTCATCTTCTGTATGTGGCTAAAGCAGCAGTGAGCATAATCTCCGGGCTAAACCGCACATCAAGTCCCACGTACGACCTTGTGCCAGTATCAAAGGCGACTTAGTACCCCAAAAGCGCGAAGCCTCGAAGCCGCAAAGAACTGCTAACTACGGAAGCGCGGTTGCTGGAGGGTTTGAGGGGCTTGGCGTGTCGTTGCGTATCTCTGCATATCTTTGCGGCTTGGGCCGGTGAAAGGAGTCCCTTCAGCAGCCGTCTACGCAACTCCCCTCTACTCGCTCCCTGGCTGTTTGTCCTAGGCCAGGTTTTCGGGTTTCGCAACAGGGCTTGGAGCTTTGGGTTTTTAAACGCTGGGTCGGGGCCTTAGGCTGCCGGGGGCATGTCATGCTCGAGCAGCCCAGGCTCTGGGGACCGTTCGTCTCTGGATGCTTTCAGCTTCAACGTCTCCGACCGTAGGCCCTGTGCTTAGCACCTGCTCACACCACTCTTGAACTGCCATGCACCGCGGACTCTCAGTACACAGGAGTAGCCAGTTTTGCAAGAAGATGCAAGATTACTCTTCGACTGTGTGACCGGAAGCTCTTTCGCGAGCATTTGTCTGAAACACCTCTCATGCTCTCCCTTGTCCTTTTCCCTTTTTTTCAAAAAAACTCTCTTGTGTCCCCAGCCACAATGACGACCAGGCATGTCAGCGTCGCAGCCGGCGGAGCGCAAGTGGGAGGAGGCAATCATTTTCGAGCTAGGGCCCTCCTTGAGCCTTTTCGAGGGGTTATTTCGGGGCGCAGGTTGATTCTCTTGCGAGTCCATTAGACCGCGATTTAGAAACTGGACAGGATTCAGGAAACCAGGGTTCCGGAAACTCCATTGATTCAGGAAGCTGCGCTTCCAGAAGCTAGGAGTTTCAGGAAACCCCCGATTCAGAAAGCTGGCTTGGCGCGATTCAGGAAACTGGCTTGACTCGATTCAGGCAACCCGCGGTTCAGGAAGCTGGCTTCACTCGATTCAGGAAACCACACGATTCAGGAAAGCAACGCGATTCAGGAAGTTTCCGAATTCGTGGCTGATCCCTTTCAAGTCCTTCCTTTGAAGCCTCAAAGCGGTTGAGCCCTAAGTTTCTTAAGAGGCTTTCAATCAGCTCCGCTGAGAGGATCCTACAACACCTACTTTGAGGACCATCTGCATGGTGCTGAGATGTCTCGTGAACTGACCTTGGCATCCCGATGCTGTCAAGCCGACGGCCTACTATACTGCCTACACGCTTAGAGAAAATCGAGCTTGAAATCCCCTAGTAAGACTCAAAAGTCCTGACTCGACACTCCTGAAGGTCTCAGGGGCAGGTTTAGACTTCTCTGCTTGGCTCCGCAAAAGGTCGCGACTCCACGCAGACATCGAGTTGACGACGCGGAAGTGGCTTCCTTGAGAGTTGCGGCAGACGCTTCCGAGACGAGCTGTGAGTTGTGATGCAGTGCAGTGCTACAGCACAACAAGGACAGAGACCTGAAGCGCCAAAGCTGCATGAGGTCCTCCAAAACCTTAGTCGTCCAAACAAAATCTAGAAGCCCTCCAAACCTCCTAATCTTGAACCTCTTGAACCCTACATGTACACTTCAGGCTGGAGCTGGAGCAGCGAAGGCTCGCGAAGCTCGACAAGGCGTGCGTTTGCGGGCCAACCTCCCAAGCCGTGCCGCAAAGCAGCCCACACCCACCCACCCAAGCATACCCTGTGGCTACTTGTGCTTCTGTGTGGCTGGCCTGACCCCTAAATCGTGAATTCGAAACCCTTAAATCCTGAATCCCAAGCCCGAACTCTGAAGTGACTAAACCCCAAGCTCTACACCCCGAACCCCAAAAGCACAAAAACCCATTACGCTAGACCGTAAACACCAAGCCCAGACATCAAAACTCTCAATCCAGTGGAGGACCTGGCTGCTGCCGAGTCGGAGTACACGCAGAAGCGTCAGAAGCCGGGCAGCCTGGGAAGGAAAGGCTCGAGGCTTTGAGGCTTCGAGGACGGGTTTGCTGGTTCTTGTCGCCGGAAATTTGGGAATGAGGAGTATATAGGGTTGCTAAGGGTGCCTAGTGCCTGGCTTATTTCAAAGATCTGCGAGCGAGTTTAGGCTTAGTTTCGGGTGTTTCATGGTTTATGTTAGCGGGGTGAGGGTTTGATCTCCGATGGGGTAGCAGGGCCCGTACAGGCCCGGGGCGGCCTGTTCCCTCACGATGTCAGATGGTTGAAGCTATCTGTGGCTACACCACTCAGTCGTGCAGGATGCAAAAGCTCCAATATCACAGAGCTTGCTTCATAAGGTGGACCCGACAAACTAAACCACCAAGGCTGTGAACTGCAGGAGGGCAGCAAGGTCTCATGTCCTTGGAAGCTTTCAACCCAAACCCTGGGCTTCCGAAAAAATAACAACACCCAAGGCCACTTAAGTATCAAACCATTCAAAGCCGGAACTCTGGAGCCGCAGACCTTCAAACACCGTAGAGACGCCGTAGAGAGTTTTTGCCGACTGTCCCTGAATTGCCCGAAGACAGTCCCGCCGAGTACCCCTGGGAATCCCGCTTCGCATCGGCTTGTTCTTGTGTATCAACTCCTTTGTTTTTGGGTTAGGGATGATCGAAGTTTTCTAGACACTGATTCTTCAAGGCCTTCCGGACCTTTCAGAACTTGAGACCATTTTTGCTCGAGCGTGATCCAAAAACCCACACACCGCCTCCAAACCCTACACCCCAACCTAAACCCAACATTCCTGAGCAGCCTGAAGGTACAAGGTCCTCCAAAGCTCGCAGGAGGACGCCGTAGCTCAGAAGCACAAGGACCCTGGAGAATGGAGTTTTCGTGTTTCGGGGTCTTCAAGGGCATTTGCACTGCAGCTGATGCGTGCTGGTAGTGGTCGCAGCTTTTGGCCAGGACTTGCTCCAGCTGGAGAGGCCTCGTGCGTGGCGGTTTTGCGCTTTGGTCACACCTTTTCCGCAACCTAACGGGCACAGCTGCAAGTAGTGCCCCTGAACAGACAACCTGATGCGCCTGTGTCCTGGAAGCGCAGGCAGCTGGACTTGGCCATCTCAGGCTACAACAAGCTGAATGCGCAGAATGATGGGTGGCTCTGCCATCAGAATGCAGATTCGGGGCTGGCGGTCAGGGTGTGTCAAGGTCGTGATCGGAGATGATTACCCGTTCCCTGCCTTTGAAGTTGGCATTTAGAACATTTCAGGACCACAGCTGGCCTTATCTAGGCACCCCCGGGTTGCGGAGTTGCCTTCTCTAGCCTTCTCTTGCTGCAGGAAACGGGCCCCCCTCAATCTCTACTGTAAAATCCCAGCAAGAGACCCGACACCCTAAACCTGCCCGCCCACTTGTCTCCCTGTGAGTGAGCCCGACGTATTTTCCAGGCAAGGAACGGCCGAGTCAGCAAGCAGTCCCCGTATTGTGACTGTATGATACACCCTAAAGCCCAGCTTACACCAACCTGTGCTCTTGCAGCGCAACACGCACGTCCTCAAGCCGAGTTGCCCTTAAAGCCCAGGCTGCGCGCGCAGATCGACCAGCTGAGGAAGGAGAGGCAGCTTCTGGACCACGTTTTCAGGCGCGCAATAAAGGTAAGGTTTAGGATCTAGGGCTTAGACTCAAAGCTTAAAGTGGGGCAAGGGTTCGGGAGCCTGGAAAATGCAGAACCGGCTGTTCATAGAAGGCTGTTTCTGAGGATGTCTAACATCCGTTGAAGGGTGCAGGTGCACTGCATGTGGAGTAACATGATGGCTACAGCTCTGGTCAAGGAGGCATTGAGCTCCCACCGCATGGCCGCGCAGTGTTTTAGTGAGGAGTGAGTGTCGTGGAGTGACCTATAGCCTATACCCATCCGCAGCCACACCCAAACCATCCAAACCTTCCACGACCCCCACACCACCAAAGCCACGAACATCAGTCGAGCTTCGGGAGGCATTCTTTCGTTAAAGCGGTGCGCAGCATCATCGTCGGATAGCATAGCAAACAAACCTCGACAGCATTGCAAAACAACGCCCTGTGTATTGTGGAGTTTGCACTAAAAGCCGATACCAGCACAAGGCAAAAAGTATGCATGGACATCCAGCATGAGCAATGCGGTCTGAATAAAGAACCACCTCTTCGTCGTTTCTGAGTCTGGAGCCAGAGGGAGCCATGTGTGTTTGTCAGGGTTTTAGGGTCACTGTTATCTTTCACGGGGGTTCGGGAGCTTCAGAAAGTTGAGGTGGTATGGGCTACAGTCCTGGCGTCGCCAGGAAAATGGATAACTCCATCCGCGCGAGTCGGAGGGACGCACGCTCAGATGCGAGCGTAAGACAGGGGTCAAGCAGTTGGTTGCTTCAGACTTGTTCGCGAAACCTCCACGGGTGCTTCCATTGAGTGGCAGCTCGCGGCAGCTCCTCGTCGGCTCTTGTGTCTCGTAGCTCCGCGGCCCAGG